CAGCTTTCCCCAGTTTATGTACTGAGCATGATGTCACATGGAATATCCCTTTGGCCAGTTTGGATCAGCTGTCCTGGCTGTGCCCCCTCCCAGCTTCTTGTGCACCTCCAGCTTTCTCAGTAGAGCATGGGAAGCTGAAAAGTCCTTGACTAGTGTAAGCACTACGTAGCACAACTAAAACATCGGTGTGTTATCAACATTTTTCTCATCCTAAATCCAAAACACAGCACTGTACCAGCTACTAGGAAGAAAATTAACTCTATTCCAGCCAAAACGAGGACAGGGGAAAAAAAAGTTGCAGTTATGTTTAGTGTCCACAAAAGAATTGAAGGCACTATTGCTTATGGTTGTTGCTGTGCTGAAAATGCACAGGTTAAAGTACTGCATCAAGAAAATAATGCTTACAGGTAGCATAGGTTAAACAATAGGAGAGAGAGTGAGAGATACACGCATATGAGAATTCCCTTCCTAGTGCAGCTTCCAATTTTGGCAGCTTTGGCATTTGACAGTAGGTTTCATTGAACGTTAGAATTGTAATTTTTGAGACTCATGGGGATTTGAGTGTTAGTTTGGATGACAAGGAAATAACTGATCTGAAGTGGATTGGTGCCTTACTACTTGCGTGTGTTTAACTTGACATTGAGCTTGATACTTTCAGACTAGAAAATAGAGGGGAGGAGGGAAATGTAGTAGTGTAGGTGTATACACGTACATGTGCCTGTATGTATACATGTGTATGTACAGGTATGTGTAATGCAGGTCATATTTATGAGTGGTTCATACATCCTAAGTTGTTAATAGGTTGGAAAACATGTGATGCACTGCAAACTTTGTAAATGTTAACTAAGGCATTTTCCTTGCTCTATTTTGATGCTGTGCTCATCTGATTAAGGACTAAAATAATGCCCTGCTTAGGGGCGCAGTCTATCGGGAGTGTTTGAGGATGAACAGTGTTTCCTGGGGGCAGACAGCAGCAGATCTCGTGGGACGGCTGCACCGAATGAAGACAGACAAATTCTGGCATTCATCAAACTATGTCAGGATGAATGTGGTGGAATAAGTGCCAGCAGAGGTCACGATCCTCATCTTCTGTTGACCCTTAGCACGTCCAGGTAAATGTAACAGCGTAGTTGTTGAAACAACCACTTTTAGTTAATGATTTTGATGATTGCAGACTTACGAACTGGGTGCTGTTAGATGCCAATGGCAAAAACTATTTCAGTACGTTATTGAAAAAAAAATAATGTAACAGGCAAAACTTTAGGATTCGTCTTCTAAAAAAATTGTCAGATGTGGGAACATTGTGCTTTTAATGATGATCATCAACTGGTGATGTCTGCATTCTTCATGAATTTTGTAGCAGTCTTCTCAAAATATTTCTTAGCTATAGGCTTTAATGGAATTTTATAGATAATCACTTTTTTTATTTTACGAATACTTCTTGGTGTACATTGAGGTGAAAGATGCGTATGGCCAGAGGAAGAGTAAAGGTTTGGATTTTATAGATATTTATACACACAGAAATACATATTACCGTATATTAAAATATATTTAAATAATTATGTAATGATTGTATGAACTATACATTTATTTAATACATATACTTTTTATACGCGTAGTGTGTTTACACTTTAGTACTATACAAAAGAAATGTTGTAGTCAGTACTTCGGCTGTTCCTCACATCTGCTCTTTTTTAATCTGTATAACTTGCAAATTATACCAGTCTGTTGAGCATTTTATTTATTTAATTGGTGCCTACTTTCCTGCTGAGAAAAAAGGACTTACGTCTTGATCTTACTTGTTCACCGTAGCTATCTCTACTGTACATTAAATTTCTCAGCATCTGTTCTGTCTTTTTAATTTTTCTTCTTATGCTAACAGTGGTGGAAAACATTACCCAAAAGGCTCCAGTGCCTCCAAACAGTTGCTTGATTGCTTGTGTAATGTATCTCTAGTCCAATCTCAAGGTATGTATTAATGGTGCTACAAATAAATAAGCTAGCGTCCTGTTTTAGGAAGAAAGTGTTTTGGATTTGAAACCCTTGGGTAGGACAGAAGGAGGTTGCCTTCTTGGGTCAGTGATGAGTGTTGGCATGTATTATCTGATCTAAAGTTGATGTCTATTATCACTTTAGCTCTAGAATTACTCTGAGACCCAGGAAGCTCCAGTTCCTTTTGGCTGCAACCGTGGAGCTTTTCCAAACTGTGGAATCAAATTCCTGTCACAGATTCTAACCCAGCGTAAGGAGAAGGGGGCACAGTTTGCATTTTCTTCTATTTATGCGTTAGGGAGGCATAGTTCTTAGCTGGATGTTGCTAGGAGGTGCTTTCACGTTAACTCAGTGCAGCTCTGGATACCCAAAGTTGAACAGTGTCAGCAAATGGTGATGTAGAGATTTGGTGGTAAACTTAAACTGCCTGTCTTAATAAGCATGCATGTTTTTAATTCACAAACATCGTTTAGTCCCACCTGCACATCCAGAATGTTTGGAGGGTCATGTCACATCTTCCTTTGATCACAATTACCAGTCACATGTTCAGATTTGCTTTTTAAGGAAAAAAGATACAATGATATTTTCTGTTGGGGTTGTACATTCCTTTTTGTGTTCGCAGTTGGCATTTCCTGGCAGGGATAGATTTGTTGTGCGTATTCACATACTCCTCAAAATGCTGTAAATGGTAACCTCTTTGCCTGCACAGTGGTTCAAAATTTTTCTGGCAATATTACATGTATCTTGCAGTATTCTTGGACAGGTACATCCCTGTTGGTGTGTTCTTTTGGTTTTGTTGTTTGTTGTTGTCTTTTGGGGCACGTTTTTGTCAGGAGAAGGTGATACTGAAGATGAGCAGGCTTCAGTTGATACTGTAGTTTCCTGGAATTTGTACTTTCCTAGGGACCCCCTGAAATGTGGCCAGAAGCACCACAAACGTTATTTCCCAGGGAAAATAGAGGGATTTGTCAATGCCTATGTATTACATAACACATTGTAAATAAACCTAGTGGTAGATGTACGTGGGACTGCCAGGAACATTCATGATCAGGGTTAACCTGTTTCTGCTAGAGAATTCATTTGGTCTGTGGCTTGCTCTCTGTAAGCCTTAGGGTAAGAGGAATATACAGGATCAAACGATAGGCTGGATGCAGAATTGTCCTAAAGGCTGTATCCAGCCTGCAGAAAGCAGTCTGAGTACTCTGTGGGTTTTTTTTTAAAGAAAACAGTAGTGCTCTGCCTGATCTTTTGGGAACTTTTTCCAGACTTCTTACTATTGTAATATATTAGTTAAACATTACCGTTCTATAATTACATTGTGTAATTTTTATACAAAAGCTGGAGGTGGAGAATCATAGAATCGTAGGTTTGGGTTGGAAGGGACCTTAAAGGTCATCTAGTCCAACCCCCCTGCAATGAGCAGGGACATCTTCAACTAGATCAGGTTGCTCAGAGCCCCATCCAACCTGACTTTGAATGTTTCCGGGATGGGGCCATCCACCACCCCTCTGGGCAACCTGAGACAGTGCCTCACCACCCTCAGCGTAAAAAATTTCTTCCTTATATCTAGTCTAAATTTACACTCTTTTAGTTTAAAACCATTACCCCTTGTCCTGTAAGGCCCTGCTAAAAAGTCTGTCCCCATCTTTTTTATAAGCCCCCTTTAAGTACTGATAGGCTGCAATAAGGTCTCCCCAAAGCCTTCTCTTCTCTAGGCTGAACAACCCCAACTCTCTCAGCCTGTCTTCA